CAAATAGGGACTGAGGCGCTGCAGCAAGTAAGGCCGTGTGTGCAGAACGTCTACACGTCCTGGGATTCCATCACCATGGACACCATTCTTTAAAACAACGTGGCCCTCCATTGTTGGCAAGACCGATGGCGGGTGATTCAAAACGCTCTGACAATGGCTAGCCCCCTTTTCTTTAGACTAAAGGGTACCCTCCTACCCTCCCCCCAGAAGACCACTGCAGATGTGATCATTTGTGGTGAACGCATCTGAACAGAGCGGTCTACAGGGTCGGCGGTATCCATTACAGTCGCATGATCATTTTCTTATTGATTCTAGTGTCTTCAGAGCTTTCTAGAAGGCTTCTCGGGGCACTATTGACAGTTAATGTTGGTTCATATTGAATCCCCTTGTTGGGAGACACTCCCTTCTAGTAATGCACTATCAAAAGACTCAAGGCACGGAGAGGGGGTGGTGTGAGTGGCTGGGGGGCGGTCAGGAGAACTCGTTCAACTCCAGCAGATTTCTTAATGGAAATTCAGCTCCACATTACAAAATGCAAGTTTCCTTCTGTTGTAATCCACTCTCAAACAAGGCAGCCATTCAGAACAGGAGCAGTGTAATCTGGGGTAGACATTCTAAGGCAGCTAAAATTAGCCCCTCGCTTTATCAAGCACAAGCCTCTGATTCAAATCAAACCCACTTAATTCCTCATAAAACAAACCCTTTAAAATGATATTCTGCTTGATATTGGCAAATAGTTACTTCAGATCAATACTTGCGCATGAAAAGTTGAGAACGATTGTTAAAAAACACTGGATTCAACTGAGACAACGGCTGCAAGTTAGGGTGCAGTCAAGGCTTGTAGTGACTGGATTCACAGGCCACCACCTTCTTTCACAAAATGAAAACTCGAAGACTGACTCCCTGACCTAAACAAGGCATCACTTGCTTTGCAACAGTATGGAAATCACCTATGATTCAGAATGCATAACGAATGACACACTGGTTGAAAATAAACCAGACTCAGTATCAGGATTATAAAGCCATGGCCCAATGCTCAAGGTACATGAAAATGTTATGAAAAGCTACCATCCTTCATTAACCAGTCTGGTAATAAGATAACTCATACTGCCCAGACACTGGGCCAATTAATCTCATATAATAGATATAATAGTTTGCAGCATTATCTGCAGCCTGTGGAGAGGCTAAGGTTCTTAGATGCACCAAAGAGGCTTCTGCCTCTGCAAATGGCACGGCTATTAGCGAATGTGAGAAGAATATGGGACAGGCCTGCCAGACCAGCAAATGGTTTAATTAATGCCAAAGTCAAGTCCACATGTCTAAATATCTAACTCATTATGTCAAAGTCCTCTAGCAGTATTCAAAAAACATGGCAACTATTTAAAAGTTGATGGTAAATATGCTTTAAAATGTTTTCAATGTGTTTGGCCAAAACGAGGCTGAGTTGCCTGGGTAACTGAAGCACATACAAGCCGGAATATATATGTAAGATAGTGCTGATAAAGCTCAGGAATGAGAGATTATACTCGTGTAAGCCCTTGACTCCTTTTATCAAGCGTTTTCATCGCCCAACTTGAAATGTTTGGATGTTTCTCAGAAAGAAAAGATACTGATTGCAATTGTGAAGACAAGAAGCTTTTGAAATACTGAAGTGATGATAAAACACATTCCTAAGTTCCATATTTAAAACAAATATCAATGAAGGTAAGTTATTTTCAAGTAAAGCAGAGAGAACATAAATTACTGAACACTAATGCTCCTCATAAGCAGTGATTTGTATTGGAAGGTCAATAAATGCTGAATTTTATCCTGTCCATTCATGGGTACCACACACTCAGCCAGGCAAAAGCTTGTTCATTTTCCAGTGTACACATGTAGTATCACCATGAACCCACGAAAGAGAAAAAGCCCTAAAAGCCAAAGAAACTGCTAACAGAGAAGAGTCTTAGATGTTTGAACAATGTGCAGTTTGGTTACTACCCCACATAGGAAAGGAATGGGTGTGGTCAAGTAATGCAGATGAACACCTTATATAACTGAATACTCGCAGAAAGTACCAAAAGCAAAAAACGCACAAAATATCCCAGGCCAAATCATTTGCATGAATCTGACACATATACAGTTATCAGATACAGTCGTATGCACAAGTTTGAACACTCTCAATTAAATTACACTTGATTTTCTAAGTGAAAATGAGTTAACACCCCCTTTTCAAGGAGCAAACTAAAATATGGCATTTTTCTGCAAATGTTTTGCATACTTTCTATTAATATGCTGACCTTAACATCCTGGAAATATAAAACATAAAATGTGCCATAACTTTTGCACAGGCCACACTTTATGATTCCCCTATGCCCTACCTCCTCCAATATGTTAAATTCAGCAAATAATGAGTGGTTTTACATTAAAATTAATATACATGAAAGCATTTGCCCAGAGGCACCCAAACTTTTGCATGCAACTGTACCACTGCCAGAAAATGTATGAATGCTGAAAAGTTAGAAAATTCTGAGGTCATTTGATGGCATATTATGGTTAATCTACAAAAAAAGGAAACAGAATGAAGAAAAAACTGATGGGAAATGGATACAATATGATGTCATAACATGCTTTTCCAAGCATAGTGTGAATATCATCAGTGCTTAAAGAGCACTCACTGCATGTTACATTACAAAATAGAGCATTCTGATTAGTTCTTTTTACTGAATTTAATGCATCACAGTGCACAAAAACCTGAATAATGAAAATCAGGGTGCTCTAGGGGTGGGCAACATGACACTTTATCAAAAATCTGAAAAACCAACTGTTGGAATACATATCACAAAAATGTCTTCAAGTATTGTGATACCTTATTTTTGAGACAGAAACCACCCTGGGGGTGGATGATGTTTTAACATCTAACCTCGAGTCCAGCCTGCTGTATAATGCCCCATTCCTAAGCTCTGTTAAAGTGGAAGGTAAGCTCTGTTAAACTGGTGAGCATTTATGTATCCATTCTGATATAATTAGCATGAATACAATGCCCATTAAAATATTCCATGTTGTCTTTGAATACAGGCTCATGAATGCCACAAAGTGCATGATTTATGAATTACACAAATTCAATGACCAGGTGACATAATACAGTTCAGCATGCATGTGAATGTGAACATAAGAGAGTGAAAATGCTTGGAAGTGCTTTCCTACTTTATTACATTTATGAAACATTACTTGAAATGACACAACTGATCCAAATTCTGAGATGCGGTGGGCAGACTAAAGGAAAACATCAACAGAAAAGACTGACTGGGTAGACATTCCATTCTCCCTTACCCTTCATTCCCGATTTGATAAACTTTTGACTGCATGACCTTAGCCGCGGAACATGGGCTCATTTCTGCTCCGTTAACTCTGGTCAACAAATTCCTCAAACTCTTTGACGTGCAAAACTCCTCAATGCTCTCTATATTCCCTCTGAGCTAGGCCTCCATGGATGTAAATCTGCAGGAACGCCAATAAACCACATTTTACACTATGTAGCCCCAAAAAAGTCCTTAAATTAAACAACCGCTTACAAGTGGGCAACATGCATCCAAATGGTATCCACTCTTAGACCAAACACAGCTATTGACTAACATCCAAAGTCCGGTTTGAAGGCAACCTGAAAGGCCATGCTATTAAACACTAACTTATCATCACAAACATCCACTTCTACCCTGATTTGCAACATGATACATAGTGTGGCCTGACATGTTTAAAATGAGGAACTGACTTTTTTCAAGAGGCCTCATCAAGTCAAAATATTAAAATGGGAAAAAAACATTATGGGTTTCTGACATCAAAATTGAGGCCTTGTTGGTATTACAATGAAAAAGGTTCACCGAAAAAATTTGACTTTACAGAATTTTCCCCTTACTCCAACTGCAGTCGACTGGCCAAGACATTTTTGGTGTCTGAAGTTTGCAATTTTTTAATAACTGACTGAAACCTTCACAACAAGTTTATGGGCTAAACTTTGCGGCGCACTGCTTAATGCTTAACAGAATTAGTTTACAGAGTGGAGGCCTTCGTTGAACATCTTTACAGATATATTTTTCACTGCTGTGTGGTGAATTGGTGACCCAGTGGTGAGAAACATGTCATGAGCTATGAGGCTATGAGGCCTGGCAACAGCAGGGAAGGGCTCATGTTTTCCTTCACAAAACACTAGCTCACTTTTCATATTTTAGAACCCTCCTTTTTTTCTGCTAACATTGTTTTTTCGTACAGCAACCTTGACCACACCAACACCCAACATGTCATAAGCTGTACTGTAGATGAGGAGCAGGACTGGTTTCTTGTCCACAGCTGTGTGTAGACAGGGCACAGTTTCAGCTGAGTTAAGGCTAAAAGGCAACAAGCTTCTCCCAGCTTTAACACAATGTAAATACCTTCATTTTTGTGGAGTTTTTTTTTGTTTGTTTGTTTGGTTTTTTTACCTTTTCTTTACAGATCTGTCCATCAGTATCTACATATGTACCCATGTCCATCTTCACTAGACAAATTCAGATTTATCTGAATAAAAGCCTTGGTATTGCCAGAACAAGCCCAGGAGGAAAGGCTGTATAAGAAATAACAATAGGACCAACAGGACTGCACTAGTCACTGGGTTCTACCCTTACACTCGCCACATGACAGCCATAGCTAGAAGTAGCTTCCACAGCCCTGGTATGAAATAAAGCAGAAATAAATAACTGCAGCCCGCACTTTCTTTGGCCCAGAGGAGGTAAAACAGCTAACTATAATGATACACGGGCATGCCAGCTGCTAGTAATAAAAACAGGAAAGCTTACTCTTTTGCAAATTGTCTTATCTGTAGGCTACTCCGTTCACTTTTGTGTGCTATTGCCTCAGCTTTACACCCCCCTGTCCAAGTGACTGTGAGGATACATGGACACCAAATCATTAATTTACTGTCTTTTTACAGTGCTTTTCTTTTTTATCGAAACTGAAAAAAAGGAAAGGAAAAGACTGGTACATACCATAGCATTCCTGCCTGCCTTCTCCACCACTCCGCTTCACTCCTTTCTCTCTCTCTCGGCTGCTCTGCTCTGCTAGGCTCACCGAACCAAACCAAGCCAAGCCAAAGCAGCAGCAGCAGCGTTTGTTTAGCCCCAACCGGCTCAAGAAAGAAATGAAATAGAGACAAGAAAGAAGAGAAATAAGAGTGCTCCCGTAGTCCCAGAAATTTCAATAGCTCCCTTTCTTGGCTGCTGTCCGTTTCCAGAAAGTATTCTTCCTTCAATCACCATTCCATTAAAAAAGAAAAGTTTTCGCCACAATCTGCTGAACGTGTTTCTGTTATTACTGCTGAAACAGAAAGACAATGAAGCAACGAACGGGCAGCCCGGAATGTCTGGATCTTTCACTGTATTTTCTGCTTGGAAAGAAAAGGAGGGGGCGTTGAGGGAAAAAAAAAGAAAGCCCTGTATCGTTGTGTCTTCCCCTGGGTTCACCACGTTGTTTTTGACCACTTATTATTTCCTTTGTTGTGCCCCAAACATCCTGACTTGCCCGTGTCTACTGGAGCATTCGCAGCTGGAAGAAGCACTAATGTCATCTGCCAAAGCAAAGCGCGATTTTCTTCTTCAGCGAAAAGCGTTTTCGACACCGCGAACAGCCAAAAAAACCCTCTGACGGTGTGTGTGGATGTGTGTGCGTGTGTAAGTGCGTTTTTTCAGCTTCCCAATAATGGCGGCTCTTCTCCCGTTCCCAGACTCTCCTCCCTTTACTCCTTTACTCCGGGAGAACAGCGCAGAGCTGAGCTCTACAGCAGCTCTACAGCGCCTGGACACACAACACCCAACTAACACAAAGCACACCATTACACTACACTCCACTCACCACACACAGACACTAATAATGCAAAATAAAATAATAAATAAATAAATAAAACAATAAGACAAATACAAATAGTAATGATATATATATATATATATATATATATATATATATATATATATATATATTATATATATATATAAAGTAATTATCATTGTTTTTAATCTGCATCAATGTCTGCCTGTTATTTACTTTATCTCAATCAGATCAACTTTACACAAATATTCTGCACTCTGTTCTTACAATTACAATTTTCTTTTACAATTATTGATGTTTGTATGTATGCTAGTCAACAGGAATATATGTTTATATGTTCGCCATATGGAACAAAAAAATATGTATATATTTCTTCACAAAACATATGTGCAATATATGTCAACATGTGTGATTTTGTACCACCAAAACTCCAAAGAAAGATATGTGTGTATCTGTGTGGGGGTTTTAATGTTATTTATTTCTTTCCTTAAAGAAAGAGTCCAGCTTAGGTAATCAAAGTTAATCAAAACTTTTACAGAAACTATCAAGTAAAGATTAGGCTAGTGAAATCAGCCATAATGTTATAATTGAACATGATGTTCTTTATGAGACCAGGGTTTAAGTGCCATTTCAGATGGGATCTTGTGTCATTTGGTAGCTTTTAAATATATGCCAATCTATTGACACATATGTAACTATATTTGAACAGTTGCAGATATTTGTAGATTATATATATTATATATAATATGTGTGTGTGTGTGTGTGTTTGTGTGTAATGGTCTCAATTTTTAATATGTACATATATGTCAGAAATATGTGGAAATATGTTTCAGAATTATGCTCACACATTGTTTGAAAAATTTTTGCATGTGAACTTCTATTGTCAGCTTTTTTTGTCATTGTAATTAAGCCAATAAGACAAATTCCTTGTATTTGCAAATGTAGTTGGCCAATAAAGCCTAATTCTGATTCTTCCCACTACATGTCTTTTAATCTTTCTCATTTTTCTTTGAACACAGTTAAGAGAACACATTATGCATATAGCTCTTGAGTATGAAACGGATCAAACTGAGGCCTAAAACTTCAGAGTTTTATATATCACTACACAGCTCAACACATAATATCTGACTCTATTTCTTTCCTTTTGATATTCAGTCCTGCTTTGTTAATAGCAGGGAGCGAGCGCTATGCTTTCTGATTCTCTGATGAAACAATTACAAAGAATACAGTCCCTGAGGCACTGGTGGTAATGAAAGTAAAGTTTGAGAATTCAAATACATTTAAGAACCAAGAAAATGTGTTGTTTCAGAGAGAAATGGAAAAAAGGTGGTCATATGGATCTTTCAGCTGCTATGAGATGAAGCAATGGACATGCTATGGGCTACATGTAATGATTTGCAATATTCATTGTTCAGTTTGATACAATACAGTAATTTCACAATTCAACCCGATTTTTAATACAGAAAATCATTAAAGCATTCAATACTATAAAAGTATAATATTTTAAACAAAAGTTGTGCTTTATACTGATCTAAGGCTTTAGCCACATCATACATATGATAGTACCAAGCTTACACACTAGCCACAGGCTAGTAGTCAACAGTAGTCACATTATAATGATACAGTACAATACACTACAATACAATTCAGTGTGTTGTATTTTTTCATCTTTAGCAAAGTCTATAGGACAATCTTACATTTCTCTTTTAATTTACCTAAATAGGCCTACAAGTGATCACTGTTTACTACTGGTGTGGTTCTAAACAACATCATCAGCATCATCAACATAAACAGCAATAATAATAATTCAAACTAGATCTGATGTTGTCACCCATTAAAAAAAAAAAATCTGACTTGTGTGTGTACATGTATTGGCCTGGTAATCACATGCTGAAAGATAACATCTTTAGAAAAAAGAAAAAAAGTTGAATTTATTAATTTATTTATCTATTTAAATATTAATATACTAATTAAAAAACTGAGATTAATGAAGGCTAATATACACTCTGAGGGACTCAGATTTACAGGAGTAATACAGGTCATACAGCTCAAGCAACATGAACCTCTTCCAAAACAAGCAAATCCTACAAAAACACTGCTGCAGTGAAAATATCACGTTATCAGAGTTTGCAGCTCCTACCTCAAGTTTGCAGCTGAAACATTTCTTAGTCCCGAGGGCCACTACATTCTCTTCCCTCACAGTTGTGCAATCAAAAGCTCAAACTCTCCCCTCAACAAAACTGTCCAAGCTGTCTGGACAATGTTCAACACTAAATAGGATAATCTCTCCACCTGCAAACAAGCTAGTGTACACACTGGGCAGACAGGACTTATGATGCAATGAAACTCTCAACCCAACATAGTCAGCCTGGAGCTGTACTTTTATTTGTTTATCAATACGTATTCTGTTTTCTTTTCTTTGGTGATTGTTCTATTTTTTATTTGTTTTTTTTTATTTTTTATAACGCATTACTCCATGACATTGGTATATGACCAACAGACATTCTGTATTTGAACATATACAACACATTCTTCATCAGTCTGAAGAACCATATACATTCTGTATTTTACCCACACGCTCCATGTAAAACCGATTTAAAAACTCTTTTACTTTTTTTCTCTATTTGGGAATTTAAAAACACTATATTATGCTAAAAATAAACGTACACGGTGAAATGTTCACCAAAGATAAAATTAAACGAAAAGAAAAATCAAATGAAACGGCTCACATGATCCAACGTGCCCTCTGCGTCATTATACACAGAGATAAAAGACGGTATTTGTAGTTTCTGAATAGATTATTTCCCCTCCTCTGCTATATAGTGACAGCGCTTACAAAACTACATTACCCAAGATTCAGAGTTCCCCGGGCCTTCAGCGGCTTAGCTAGAAAAACAGCAGGTTAGCGGCAGAGGAGCAGCCCATAGAGCTCTTCTTATTTTAATTACATGTTTATGTGCAGACGTTGTCAAAGCTTCATTAGCTAGCTTTATCTGTTACCTTACACTGAGCGATACCTCAGCTGTCCGTATACCAGGAGCACAATGGTGAGTTTGATTTTTGGTTTTTCTACTTGGTAGCCAGCCTCCGCTAGGGAAACGTTACTTAGATCTCTGACATTAGCTTCGTAGCTAATCTGACCTAACGTAGTGTTAAATCCAGTTACAGTACACTTCACCGGCTTGTTGCAGTACAGGTATCAGTAAAGATTTGTCATCGATGTAAATTTTTAATACATTTGGTAGGAAAGTTATTTCGGCATAAAAATGGCTACAGTTATGTCCAGTGACTAGATCCTGTTAGGATAGGCGTAGCTAGCGTTAGCTAGATAACCCAGCTTAGATAACGTTATTAGTCAGCTAGCTATACATAATGCACATTAGTTAGTCCTAGCTAATCATGTTGACCAATCCTTATCCCCTATATTATGTTATTATTAACATTTAATAGAGCTGAATCGAGTAACGAAGTGTGGAAACGATTAAAGGATGATGTGAAGCTAACGGGACATAGCTATCTGTTCAGGAAAACACGCTCACAGCTGATTCCCATAAACCACAGTTAAGATAAACTAAGACTTTTTCCTATCTATGAGGTGGTTATGAGTGTTTTGTTAGAATATCAGAATGACCTGCTTGAAGCTCTGCATGTTAAACTAATGTACATCGTGCCCTTTTTGCAGATTCGCTTCATTCTGATCCAAAACCGAGCAGGGAAGACCAGACTGGCCAAGTGGTACATGCAGTTTGATGATGATGAGAAACAGAAGCTCATTGAAGAGGTGCATGCTGTGGTCACTGTCCGTGATGCCAAGCACACCAACTTTGTAGAGGTACACGGTTCTTCTGTCCACTGCCTAAAACACTTGCTTTTTTCCTGCTAGATTTAACCACTCTACTAGGCCTGGGCACGATAAATTGTTAAATGTTTTCTGTACTGTTCTTCACAGAAGACATACATACAGTATGTCTTCTATGAAGTCTTAGAACCATCAGTTCTTCACTACACTTATGTCCAAAATTAACCAGAGACCCCTACTGATCAATCAGTTAAGCTATTTCAAGGTGCACCCAGTCAGATGCATGCAAAGTGGAGATGCAAGGTTTTGTTCCAACAGCAACCACAATCTCAACAGAAAAGAATTGCCAATAAAAAAAGGGCAGCTGCACATGAGCCACATGTCAGCTAGAGGGGTATAAAGCACCCCAGCTTTGGGCTGTGGAGCGGTGGAACAACGTTTTCTGGAGTGATGGAGCTCCAGCCAGTACATTTGTGATGAGTTAGAGTGGCTTTTGTGATTCAGAACTAATCATCCAACATCAGTACCTCACCTCACTAATGCTCTTGTGGCTGAATGCAGTTAAATCCACACAGCAGTGCCCCGCCTATTTATAACCTTGATTTTGGAAGAATGTTGGTTTGAGCAGGTGTCTACAAACTTTTGGACATGTATGTTGTCGCTGTCAGAACAAAACCTTGTATCTCCAAAATGGTAACTTGAAGCCTTATCATTTGTATTTCTCTACACTACAGTTCAGAAACTTCAAGATTATCTACAGACGGTATGCTGGTTTGTACTTCTGTATTTGCGTGGATGTCACTGACAATAACCTGGCTTATCTGGAGGGCATTCATAACTTTGTGGAGGTAATCCTTTAAATAGTTCTTAGCTGTTTCTCCTTCTTCATCTCTAGAACTCTGGTGTTTAGGTCTACTTTAGATCCAGATATACTGCTGTTTTTTTTCGCTACTGTTATCACGATGACTACTGTTTTAATCTTGACAGTTCTACCACTTTTCTATCTCTGCTGACAGTTTTCTATGCTTTTATTTCATTTAATTAAATTTTGTTTTGTCACTCCATATTTCAGACATGGTAAATTAAATATCACATTTTGTATAACTCCAGGGATGGGGAGGGGTCAATCCAGTAACCATATAATCAGCTAAAACAAACTCAGTGACAGGAAATCTTATAGCATTCAAGTATTTGAGCTGTACCTGTTAACCTGTTTCTGAGGCTGTACGTATGAGGAACAGGCGGAATGTGGCTGTGAGGGAGTCCAGTGCTCAGTAGTTCAAGAGCACTGTGACCTGGAATGCTGGGACTTCCTCTGGCCGGCACTATACACAGCCCCCCTATCACCCCCACCAACACCCCCTCCCCTCCATCAGCTTGGCCCCATAGTGAGCTCTTTACATAGTGACATGCTTAATGTTGCTATGTGTAAAGGATGTGTACAGTTATATGTTGCCCATAAGAGGCCATCAATTATTTAACATGAAGTTTGGCTGAGATTTTTCTTGGACCTTTACCCTAGATTCCGGTTAACCGTAAAAAAAAACATTAGTACTCTGGGAAGGTTATCACTGCAGTGGTTGAATTATGATAGACAATATTAAGTAGTCATAATCAAATAAAGGAGTCACATTATGAATCTACATTTGTTCTACATGTTTTCTTATATTTAATTTCCATGTGTGTGGTTTTATGTACCAGAAATGGTCACAATTAATGTGTACATGTCCATTTTCCGACCTTGTTCTTGTGACTTTGCCTATAAGACTAATGTAAGATAAATGACCTCTGGTCTAATTGGCTACCCTGGATCATGCTTCATTCAAGAACCACTCAAGAGCTGAAACACTCCTTAGAACTTAAATATGAATGGGCGGAGCTGAACTGCTATAGGCTGATGGGTAGATATATGTAAATGAGTTTCACAGAAACAATGAATTCAAAATGCAGCATAGTTTCCATACATGGACTGTATGGACTGGGTAGTGAACAGTACGTTTTCAAGCTTAAACATTGTTTGCATATGGCTTCAAACTCCCTTTATGTCCAAAAAAGTGAAGGAAATGAAATTTTCCATGAAATGGGCCCTTTGCTTTCTAATGGAAACAGCTGAATAATTTGTGACTTTTGCATATAGACATGCTCCTAGATGTAGGATTGTAACTGTAATTTGTTCAGTGTTTGACATGTTACTTTGACATAGTAGTGTTATGTGTTACATTCTTTAAAGCTACAGGATTTTAATGCTGCAGTCTGTTTTAGCTGCTCATATGGGTAGTTGACTGGTTTCTCCCCATCCCTGAACTTACATCTCACACAAAATGAGTTTTAAGTTAGCAATTTTGAAGTATGGAACCTAATTTGCAACAACAAGGGAGATGAAACTCATTATGGACTGATCTAAATACTTCATTCTTGCCTTTCTTCAGGTTTTGAATGAATATTTCCACAATGTGTGTGAATTAGATTTGGTCTTCAATTTCTATAAGGTAAGTAAAAAAAATACACTGTAATTACCAGCTAGGATAGCTTTCACTGTGTTAACTTGAAGGGATGATTCTGTGGCTAAAGATTATAGAAAATACTAAGCAGAGGAGGACAAAAAAAAAACAGCCTTGTAGGAATTCAATACCATGGCAACAGGTATTTGATGCATAATTACAACAATCAGACAATTAAGAGCATCCGCATCTTTTTAGCATGGGGGAGGTTTTCTTTAAGGAAAAGTATAAGCAATTAAGAGTTGCCTCTGATAATTGTCTTCAGCTTCTCTGTCGCTAATTGCCTGATGTATTTTTAAATCCGCCTACTGGATGAGCCTTAACAAAGTTGTGCCCACGCTAGAAGTAGCAGCAGCAGCGGCATTCTTTGTTAACCTCTTTAATGCAAAGAGAAAGAAAACACAGTGCAGAAAATCAGCTCATTTGCGCATAATTACCCTTATCACATCTAATGACACAGGCTTTAATGGGTGCTTTATATGATCTGTCGTATAGATATCACTCACTCTTGCTCTTGATCTTATGAGCATGTATTGAGGTTTTTCTTAAAGGAGTATTTTACAAAAGAGACATCGGCCCTTACTCATCAACGCTGCGCATGGTCAAGTCTCATATTTTGCTGAAATAAAATGAGTGCACGGAGATTTCATTGACAGTGTCATTTTCATCAATTTCATCTTTGGCTTATCTATATGATCAAACTCACGTCTGGTAGAAGTGCATCTAAATTTGAGCGGAATAGTTTACCAACTTGAAAAGAATGCTCGATTTGCGGATTTTGGTTAAGTAGCCAAAACTATTATCAGACTCATCTTATATGTATGTATATGTGTGTGTATATATATAATAAGAATAAAAATAGAAAATAACAGTAATGTTTCTTTTGGAAAAAAAAATTGTTTTTGACACAGTCAAAGAGATACAAAACACAGCTAGTGCAGAAGCATCTCACACACTGCAATAATACAGCATTTAAATATTAAATAATCACACTACTCAATCACATCTCTCTACCATCTTAAAAAAGAAAAAGATATTTTGTCTATTTTACTTTTTATTCTTTCGAGGAATTGTAATTTTAACGCTATAAAGTTTGGTCAGTAGGGGGAGGAGTGCAGTCACCGCTTAACCTCAAACTCCGGCTAAAAGCTACAGCCAGCGGCCCACGAGCTGCTAAATGCTGTCGTTTTATTGGTTCCCTACTATAACATTTACATGAATTAGGGTGTGATTCATGTAAGTGAGGTACCACTAGGCTGGCGCTTGATTTAACACACTGAAGCTGATTTATCTTTTGTCCTCAAATCTTTCTGCATGTTTCTGCCTTGTACCAAAGCCAGAGCTGTTTGTACGTCATCAAATCTACGCTTTTTTTACGCAGCTTTGATGAATAAGGGCCAGTGTGTAATGGTGAACAATATGTGGATGGGCCTGATTGGTATGATGTCTATGGGCCCTTCATTGTTTGCAGTGTTCACATTTTTGGTGTAGTATTTCCAGAGAAACGGTTGATTATGTTTAGCTTTCATTTTGTATGTTTTCTTTCTGTAAAAGTGTGGATTATTTGTGACGCCCTGTGCTGCTATATCTCAGGTGTACACGGTAGTGGATGAGATGTTCTTGGCAGGAGAGATTCGAGAGACCAGCCAGACCAAGGTCCTCAAACAGCTTCTCATGCTGCAGTCACTAGAATAGAGATGTTACTGCGTCGCAGCCATGCGTTACCCTTGGAGCAGGTTCCTCCTGCTGCTGAAAGCCAGTGATATTGTTTCTGTGTATGGATGTTGTTCATGAAATATGTAAACGAACATTTCAGCATTTCTTTAAAGCTATGCTATGTAAGATTTTAAGATGTTTGATGTGTAAGAGTGTTTTGTAATGACAAGAAAATCTACAGGAATGGACAAATTAATGAAGGTTTTAGTGAAAAGCCTGAATCTGTATGTTGCATCTCTGCTTCTTATTGCCCTTACAGACGTTCTGGTGTCTAACCAAGACGCTTAGATTCTGAACGAGGTGCAAAATTACAGATATGATCTTTTCTGGAAAGGCTTCATTCATGAAAGGAGTATAAACACATTACATGCCCCTGAAATGTTGACAGAATCTTACATAATATATGCTTACATTTTTGGGTCACAAAATGGTGCTGGCCATTTTGTTCCCTTTCTCTTTTTAGTGGTGCATTTACTTATGAATCTCAAGGTGGACATGCATTTTTGTGGGGCCTCTGTGGTTTAATATTGTCCAAGTATTTCCCCTAGTTGTATTCTCATGTTGTGAGATTTGGATTTTTATGCAGTTGTGAAACAGTTGCCACAAAAGAGTGGCACTGACAACCTGTCTGTACCCTTTCATTGACACTAAACCAGCAACTTGATGGACAAAGACCACCCTGGCACTGGGAATGACATCCATTGACTATTTGAGGTCTACACTACTCATTCTGAAGGAATGTTACTGGAACTGTCCATTTGCTTCTATGTATCTCCCATGAATTCTTTTAGTAGATATTGCTTTATTCATCTGTGAATCTCTGCACCAGGAGTTCTGTTTTTTGGAAGACAATATTCATTCCTTTTCATTTTTAAATCATAAAATTACCAGTTTAAGGAAAGTGGAAACCAGAATTTCACAGTCTAATGTGAAGTGTTTTTATATTGTGTATCGATGCATTATATACATGTATGTGTTGGGTCTGATCATATGAAACATTTTCATTCCAGTAGGCAAACAGCTTCGTCTTTACATCCTCACAACGTGCACACGTTCAGAGCTGAACATAAGCCTTCCGTTCCAGCATTAGCACACAGGCTATATGAACATCTAACAGGCCTTGAAGAAGTCGAGTTATTACCAGTAATTGTGGTGTGTTGGTTATGTGAACAAAGGCATACACTGATGCGGAGCTTGTTTAGCAAGCAAGGCTGAACAGATCTTACGGCTCTCAAAGGAAGAACCCACGACAAAAGACTGCATTTACTTTTATCTCCAACTTCTGTGGCACTGCTCCCTGTACTAGTGGTTCCATAGCAACCACTCTGTTCAGCCTTGAGTCTCTTTGGACTGGTTTTCTGGATACTGATTAAGCTTAGTTCTGAGGAGAGTTATTCCTAAATCACTGAGTATTTTTGGTTGTGCTCTAGGTTTAATCTGCATCTGAAACTGGTCCTTAACTGTTAGTTTCATGAGGTATTTTCTTTTTTTTTGTATTTTAATTGTTTTTCCTCATTGTTCCTTTTGCCTTTGTCTGAAATATCCAATCTTATGCACTTGTCCTTGTGAGATGACAGACTGAAGGAAATGTTTCCACTCGGTGTATTCGTATCAATATGTAAACCCACAGAAATGAGACAAATAAAATATGAAATAATGTTCAGTTGATTGGTTTCATTTTGGCTCTGAGATGTTTGTAATTCATTTCAATTAAGCTGCTAAACTAAATGGTTTGCCCTGAGAGTATAGAATGTCTAATGTAGAGCTATGGTGAAGAAGTTTAGCTGTACTGCACCACCATCTACTGGTGGAAAGGGGGCTGTTACACCAGCAAAGGTCATTTAAATGGTATACTCAAGGTGTAAAAATAAAAATATAATTTTGAAACTCTGCCAATATTTACTTATTTAAAAGAATTCCCTTTAGTCCTGCAAAACTGTCTTTCAGTTATTTCTTAATAACTAAAAGCCAGCATTGATAATTTAGCGATATGAAAGCAACCAGCAAATGAGAGCATGCTAACTAGTCCTGAATGAGTTTGCCTTCACTTGTGTTATGGTGAAGTGTTCTTTTACAGTTTCTGAGCATAGAAAGAAGGCACAGTTGATAGTTTAACCAGACCAAATGCTTACATCTTCATCACAGTTGAAGTTTAAACACAGTTTTCACACTAAGCAGGCAAAACTGGACTCTTCCTGCACCCGTCTTCAAAGATATTTCATCTGTATTAGTAATAAACAATACTAAGGTAAAAGGATGTTTCTCAGGAAATAAACATTTTCCAAACGAACATAAAGGTGTGTATTCACATTTCTACAGAAGATGAAAGCATATATAAAATGGAATGGACACCAAAGAAACCCTCATTCTTCATGTAACATAAAAAAGCAAACTTTACTTATAATCCTTAAAATTAACAAGCACACTCCCCCCAAAACAATTCAATAGACAAGTTCAATCTTATTTACAGCATAGATGATTCAGATATACAGTATTTATGGATGAACAAAATCACACTGGTTACTAAGCAACAACTGAGTTTCTGCAGTATTTGGGCAACTCTTTGAACTCTAGAGTTCAGAGAGATGTAGTCACAGACACTGCTACCAAAACCAGTTAAATACAGTAACATACAACTCATTTTAGTCGGCTTAGTCAGCAGTACTTTCATGTACCTCAAAGTCAGGCAGTCATATTTAAGATCCTTGTGGTGGTTTAGAACCAGTTTTAAACTCACTTGCCAATGCACACGTGCTAGATTCATGTCAACTTTGTTATTTACTAATCAAGAAATAGTGGTTGGAGTCTGTCCAGTCATTATTATTATTAAGTGGTTTCAACAAAGACAAGCACCATGTCATACAACAGCATTTCAGAATAGTTGAGGCAGAACGATGAACGCACCACCTTCTCGATTAAATGTAACCCTTTCAAAATGATTAAGACTTGGGTTTGCATTGTTAGTGAACTGAGGCTACGTTCTTTGCCAAAGGCACACTGCCTAGTTTATCATAATACATGAAATCTCCTTGCCCAGTGCGTATAGTACATACGTATATACTATATATAGCACATACAGTTATTTCTTCATTTCGGACCACTGAAATGGTGTCGGACTTAGCTCAGTTGTTCTTTAGTAAGGAATGATCCCTCCTTGAATAATTTTCATTACAGCATATATTTAAATTACTATAAATTTTACAATTCTATAGGTACAGTATATAAACAGTCAAAAAAAGTGCACTTGCAGAGAAAAAAAAACAAAAAACAAAAAACAGAAGAACCACCACACATCACAGAGATGGTATTTTTAAAACACAGAGGCTGAAATGGGCTTGACTGTGTTGGTTATGGGGAATGGGGATGCGATTCAGTAAGGTGGGAGAGGGCAGGGCACTGTGCTGGTCATCGCCTGTAATCAGCTGTGTGTTGCCACACCCACAACAAGCCTGTCTGGCAGATCATTAAACTCAGGAATAATACCCTCTTTTAATTAGTCTTGTTTGATCATTCATGTCGGTCAAGTGGCCTTATGAGGATGGTTTCCAGTCACTGCGCTGTGCGATGGTTCTTAGCTCAGCACACAGTGCAAAAATCAGCCTCCGTAATCTTTTGGGATACACAATATACTACAAATATGCACTTTCAGTACTCTAGAAATCACGACTCAGGTTTTTCCATGCATTCTCAATGAACTGCACATAAGCACTTTACTACTGGAATCAACCTCATTAATCGACCTACCTATGCTCCACTCACAAATGTGTTCTTTTGTAGCTACTGTTTTGTGGTTGGAGAAACTTCATAGAACATTGGGAAAAAATCCATTCAACCTAATTTAAAAAAAAATCCTACATTTAGACTGTTATTAATTTCAAATTGTATCTTTAAATTTAAAATGGTATTTATTTTGTGTGTTTGACAAGGCACACACTAACACTGTTAGGCTTGGATATATATTTTTAAATGTATTAATTTGTTTTCAAATTCATCATTTCCAAAATACCTAGTTTCGGTTAGCTACACAATCCAGTTTAGTAGCACAGCATGTTAAACTGGAAATTCAATATTAAACTAGACACCTGAAGTGTGTTACAATAGGTTGAATAAACTGTCAGCGTTCAATAAAGCTTGTCCAAGCTGTTGCTATAAAAGAATGCATTTGTGGGTGGGGCCTTGAGGTCAGTTAGGGTGCTATATTTTTGGGGCCTCTTTACAGCTTTTTTACAGAGAGACTGAGCTGTATGACATAAAGAAATCTCTCACTAAGGCTAAAACAGGAAAATAAAATCAGTCCATTCTGGGCCCAAGAGGCTCGCAGTATGTTGCACGTGAGTAAAAGTTATACAGCTAGCTAATTCAGATTACATTAAATGGACACCAGTTCCATGGAGGAAGAGCAGGGCAAAATGGCTTGTGCAGGTCATCATTAAGATAGCCTTTGTGGCCCAAACTATGCCAGGGCTGCAGTTAACATCTGATATGCACCAGATAAGGGTGACCAAGGGTGTCTCAAGGGCCAGTTCACATGATCTACCATCTCCCCTTGCTTGTGCTTCAAGAATGCTAACTGGAAAATTTCCCTTTAGGTGCTTAGCCAACACAAGGACTTACAGGGTATATAATCATACAAGGCATAAAAGGGAACTTACAGTAAATGCACAACACAGAGTGTCGACTGTACTTTATGAGCAACATTTCCTCAAAGCTGGGGATGTGCGTGGGTATTCATGGAAACAGCAAATGTGTTACTTTCTCCAGCAACCCCTTCAAGTTTGCTCAGCATATTTATTAAGCAGGGGAAAAACCCAAGCACAACTTAAATTATTACTCTTTTTAATCTTGGGATTTGCAATAATTGACTAATGGATGTTAATTTTGTTTAAGACTTTATATCAATAAAGAATATTATTACCTGTGCTTCTCTCTGATTTGTTTTTCCCAGGGCAGAGAGGGGTTGATGGCTGTTTATCTACACAAACAATGTGAGTGTGATTGTGTATATACACATGAAAATCACAGGATAAGGTTAAATCTGCAAGGTCCCTACAAAGCACCCTTCCCCCAGGCCACCAAGGCTGCAGTCTCGCTAGTCAGTCACCTCTACTGGCCATATCTCCCAGCCCCACACACTCGGTCAGGGTCACCACTCCAAGACCAGCCGCGCACTCCCCAAGGTCAGTGGGCGAAGGTTGCAGATGGACTTCATAAGAAACGATCCAGATGTGTCTGGGTGTGGAGGGTTGCAGTGGGACAGAGGAAGGGGAGTTAACCTGCAAACCCAGAGACACCCGGAGCTGAGAGAGATGAGGGAGAGAAGAGAGAGATGTAAGTCTAAATGCATTCAAAAGAGGGATAACTGAATCTTCACTGTATTTTAGGCTCTTCCAGTGTGGTACAAAGCATAAAAACAACACTAGATGAGCAGTTTCAAACTCATTATCTCAGTTCACTTTTTATTACACTATATACTGCAGACCTTACTATCTATTGCCTGAGTTTCTGCAAGTTTGAAAACTGCAGTGATTTTTGATGGCTCCTTATCTTCTAAACTTCATCATTAAGGGCTTTGATTACATTATCTGGGTATTAACTGTACACTACAGCCTGTAGCTTTTCCCAGTGTAAATCTGTGAAGCACTAAAAGAGGGTAGGACATTAAGGTAATACTCAATTTAATTAAAGACTGGACAGTGAAGCACTGCATTTGAAGGTCTGCATTCACCTAAAGCGGGGGAGGTAATGTGTAGAGAGTCAGGGAGTGGGAAGGGAACGGGGCCGACCCCTAGCAGTTACACTGCTGCTTGGTCTGTGCAGCAGATCCCCGCGGCTGCCTCAACTGCCTCAGAGATGCATCACCATACTGAATACCAGAGCCCATTCGTTCAGGATCCAGTTCACCTGTACGTGTACACACACACCCAAACACACAAAGATGAGGGACAGACATACAAGATCAAACACCGATCAACAAAGGTTTCTCTGTTTCCTTACACTCTCAGCTGCTTATATAACGGGATTAAATCATAATCACATACAAAGAGTTCTCTGAATATAGAATTTCAACTACAATTGTTCATCATCAAATATTATCCTGATAAAGAGGCATTAGGAAACATCTGTAACCATTCTGGACGGATCTCTTTTAGCTTCTGTAGATTTTTCTCTTACCAGACTCTATCTTGTTAAGAATTGTGCGGGCACATTTAAGAAAGGCCTCCTCCACATTTTCCCCAGTCAAAGCACTTGTCTCCAAAAACATCAACTCTATGGCAAAAAAGGCAAGTAACAATCAGTAAATGAAATGACTGAGAAGAGGTCTATCTGTCCTGCTTGAAAAGTACAAGTAATAACACAGATTGACCCATCTTTGAAAATTCACCCAACACAGTGTTTCATGCAAAACCATTAAATCAAAGTCTTCCAATAAACTCAACACTATTAAATAAAATACAAGATGCAAATACATTTCAGGTCAAATCCAAACCCGCTCTTCAAGAATTACCCTCTTGATCACATTTAATGTAGCTAATAGGGAACAAAATTTTTGGGTGGACAAAAGTAACCACAACCTACATCTTGTTGTTGCTGATACTGATACCAATAAAATATAGTTGTTTTTTTTTTTGCATTTCAAACAAAGTTCACAGTACAATCCATAAGAAGTACAGCAAGCAAGCAAGACCGGTTCAAACTCTAAATATGCTAACTGCATCATATGCTTTAGGCTATATAAATCTTTGGAATAATGAATTTTCAAATTTGGATTAGTGGTACTGAAAGTCTTTGGTGCATTTCTGCCTTGCTATATTGCAAACCACTGGTAATCTCACTACTGGACCGATAATAATAATGAAATTTTCAGATTTATCTGCAAATAACATAAGCCACTAATATATTGTACACCCTTACTAGCTAACTAATGTTTTCAGGAGCATCTGTGAATAGTTGGATTTGGGAAGTAACTAAACTTTGATCTCAAAGAACCAAAATGGCATTATTGGGTGCTCACCGTTTTCTTGAGCAAAGCGAGACGCTTCTAGGAATGTGACCTCACGATCTGCATCCAGATCCTTCTTGTTCCCACACAGGATGATGACAATGTTGGGGCTGGCCAATGTCCGTGCATCAGTCAGCCAGTTAGTCAGAGCGTTGTAGGTCTCTCGACTAACGAGACACAGACACAACAAAATATGAGCCATACTGCTTAAAATTAATTCTGCCATTTTGATTCACTGCTTCCTTCACCCAGGAAAATGCAAAGAAAACTTTCTCCTTCTGCCACTCTCTCTCTCATCTGGGAATGTTTTACACTAGATGTTAGAACATTGCTGTGAGGGTTTCATTGCATTCAGCCGCAAGAGCATTAGTGAGGTCAGGTACTGGTGTAAGATGATTAGTGCTCTACTCCAACTCATGGTAAAGGTGTTGGATGGTGCTCCGTCACTCCAGAGAACGCAGTTCCACTGCTCCATAGCCTAGTGCTGGGAGGCTTTATACCGCTCTAGCTGACACTTGGTACTTGGCATGGTAAGCTTAGGCTCATGTGCAGCTGCTCTAGAGCATCACAACTACTGGAAATGCTTTTCTGAGGAGATTACACGAGCTATGTGTTTAAGAATGAGAACGGAGAGGACTCACTTATTTTTACATTATTATAAAAGGTACCTAACCTAAAAGCTACCTAACTTTTCCACAAAAGATGTTGGTTGTTCGGTGGAGCAGTTTTCATTTTCAGAGAGGAGCAAGCTTCACATGGTCTACATTATTAGAAGCCTACTGGCACATGCAGCTTCAGCAATGGATGGGCGAGCAGTATAAAGAAGGTAAAAACCGTTTTTGAACAGAAAAGAGTGATGTTACCTTAGTTAGCTTTGTAGTCATGCAGGTAACTTTCAAAGAAAAGCTTGTAGACCTTGTAAAGCTTGCTCCTCTCTGGAAATGAAAACTGCTCCACCAAACAAATGATGTCTTTAGGTAAATACCTTAATATTGATGTAAAAATAAGCAGGTCTTCTACATCAGAGACAATGTAAAGGACAAATGTCTCTACATTCTTATTCGTAAACACTGCTGCTGCTGTAATGTTTTTTCCTACTATGATGACCCCTGTGGCATGGAAAACAGAAGTGTGAAAAAGGGTTTATTGGTGCTGAAAAGATGAATCCACTTATTGAAAAGAGTGTCTAGATACTTTTGGATAGAGTCATAGTTGGACAGCTTGCATGCAGTATTAATTAGGTTAATATTGTAAATGGTTAGTGCTGAACTATACCTCATTTTTGTATAGATTAGTCATCATTATTTCAAAACTTTCTGACTAAATGATTGAGACACCTGAATGTTTTAAAAAAATAAAACAGTTAAATAATCTGTGACTGACTCATCTTGCACCATACATTTCTCTGTCAGGAAACTTGTTTTGACTGAGTCATCACTCACCATGGTAACCATAAGACCATGCTGACGGCAAGGATAAGAGAATGTTTTAAGAGAATATTTTTTCATGAGCAAGGCATTGGGTGCACGCTTGGGCTGCAGCTGTTAACTCACACACATACATCCTTTCTTTATTGAACAATACCACAACACACTTAATCCAACACTCTAGTTCCTCCCCTCCCTCAGCCTTCGTCTTCGAGTTTCTGCTCGCAGCCCAGTCAATGCAATAGACAAGATATAATAGACTAGATCTCTTCTGGGCTGCTGCCTGCCTGAAGATGACACTTTATTACAATCCTGTCACTCTACATCACGCCGTTCCCTCCATCTCTATTACTAAGACAGCGCAAAGGGGACCCAGAGCTTATCAAATAAAGCACTACTGCCACCCTCTAGATATGTTACTGCCATAGAAGTGAACAGGTGGTTCTACCTACGTCTCAATAATTCCATGCAGTTTTGCACCCCTAGATCCCTCACATGCTAGTGTTTAATTATGTAAAATGTCAGGCAAAAGTAACCTTGCATTGGAGTAACAATGCTTTCAGATTTTATATGATAAGATTTGTTGCTATTTTTGATATTCCATGTGTTGAAAATGACTTCAATTCTTCAGAGACTGGATACGTGTATGTGCAGAATAAAACGTTTTCAGTGCCCACTGTGATAATCCTCTATCAAAATTAATTACAATAAAAAAATAAATAAATAAACAAAATATTTTTAAAATTTATAAGCAATCAGCAAAAGTACTGTCATTTGACCATGGATGCATGCATAGCATAACCACCTCCTCCTCCTCCTCGCCCACTTTACTCTGATCAGTTGCACTTACGAGGCCTAGTCTTGACAATGGTTTCCATGAAAGACAGTAAATAAGAGACCCACAGAAGACACAGAGGGGTGTATCTGCAATCCTATTTTAAATTTCAATTCAATGCATTATTTTTTTTCTCAGTGCTAAACTGAAATCGCTTGGTGATCTACTAGTTCAGGTTCAGGTAGACTAAACCTAAACCCAAAAGTGACCCTTGATGGTTCTCTCTTACCTTGTGATGTCATAGACAAGAAGTGCCCCAGCTGCCCCACGGTAATAGCTGCGAGTCACTGACCTATGAAAAATCACAAATAGATTAGATTATTCAATATCCAACAGTATTAAGACTTGCCATCACCCACAGCAATTAATAATATGGTTTACCTGAAGCGTTCCTGCCCTGCCGTGTCCCAGATCTGCAGTTTGACTGTTTTGCCACCAACGTTGACGACTCTGGAGCCAAATTCCACGCCGATAGTGTGATTGGAGTCTTGTTTGACTGAAACATCATACATTGTTACTTCATTTGCCTTAATTGTTAAAGTATTAAGTTGTCTATTCTTCTTTATGCTGAATCAATTTGAGATTCAGTTTAAAATAAATATTTGGCCAGACTTAATTTTGCTCATGGATCATTAAAAAGCTGCACAACGCTAACTGGTCCACAGAACCTTTCCGCTGTTAAGCCATGTTTTTTCATCTTTTAGGTGAATGAAAGACAGAGTTCGCTATGATCAATTTCTACATTTCTGCATAGAACATGTCAGCAGGGAATTTGCTATGCTACCTGACGGTGCACTTTTCACTCGCCTTTTTAGATGATCTCACTTTAAGTGCCTTATTCACATTTCAGAAGCATTCAAAACTACTGTTCCTTCAAAGAGCTTAACAGACAAGGCCTTTCTCTCATGTTGCTGACACTTAAGGGAATTAAAGGTCATTATTTAATTAAAGCCTCAGAGTGTGAGAATGTGTGTGTGTAGTAAAGTATCAGTAAGCCCTTACACTTGTTCTCGATGAACTGGTGAAGGAGGCAGGATTTTCCAGTCCCTGCGCTGCCAATCACAAGGAACTTGAACAGGAAATCTGAAACCATAAGAGAGAGATCAGAGAACAGAGAGGAAGAAAAAGGCAGAGAGAAGAGAGATGAGAGAAAGAGCAGGGGAGAAAAAAAAATCAATAAGACAATCGCAGATAGAGAGTGCTAGAAGCCTGTCTTTGTTCTACCTCCAACCAGTTTATTATCTAAGGATCATCCTTCAATCTTTCTCTACCTTTATTGTATACATTTTTTTTTACTTTTTTGTGAGGTCTGATACAATAACTTTACTCCACACAATAAACGGTGCTTTAGAGATGAACTTTTCGTTCCCTGAAGAACCTCTCAGTGGTTAGTGCTTTACAGGAACACTTCAGTATTTTTCAACCTAATCTCTATCTTCCACATCAGTAACATATGGTCGATTACCATGGACAATAATTTTACATGTACTTACTCCAAGAACAGAAACCCTGTTGACTCAGAACCTGCTCATAACAATGAGAAACCAATGAGCAATGTCTTTAGAGTTAGTTTCTGTTCTAAGTACAGAGACCTATATAAATTCTCTGTGGTAACTGAATTTTGCTAGAGATTTATACATACAAAAGTGTGTGTGTGTGTGTGTGTGTGTATGTTTATATATATATATATATATATATATATATATATACACATACATATACATACACACACATATATATATATATATATTTTTTTTTAAGAGTGCATGCTTTTAGGTTTCTAGATGCTGAGCAGTTTACGGTGTTAAGCTGCTACTTCTTTTGGGTGGGGAATTTGTTTTTGAAACCTCGCACTGACAATCTCACGGCAGGTAAACAAGCAAATAGGTCACAATCTGTCACAATGAAATTTTAGCTGACAATTAATTGCCTTAGCAACTACAATGAACATGGTCTTTTTTGTTCACTGTATATTAACGTACACACCTAAAGCTGACTGATTAGCTAACCTGTTTAAAACAAACATTACTTACTGCTGCCCTCTTAAAATGTCACAGCACCAGTCTGAAGTCAGAATTATTGTTGTTTTCCTAGAATTTATGACATGCTTCAATTAAATAAATTTTCTGCTCTCTTTTATTTACATGTATTTGCAGCAACTGAATGGATGAAGAAACACCCAATTCACATTGTGTTTGTTGCAATACAATACTGACATATGACTGTAAAAGCTAACAATTGTGTAAAATAACTGCAATCAGCTCAAATAACTGCAATCAGACTATTATTTAATAACAACTGTGACAGGCCTACAAGCCAAGGTCTTAGTATTGTTCCAAACAATGGCACTACACTATCATTTAGTGACTTAACTATCTAGGCTACAGCAGAATAGAAGTTCGTACAGATGTAATATAGAGAAGTTTTGGGAAGCAGTTTGGTAGTTTCAGGAAGTTAGTACTGTGACCGAAACCAACCATGAACGGTAACGAAAAGAGCAGAACAGAAAAGCAACAAGCTGGCAGCCTTGTGGGTAAAGTGCTGAAGCAGATCCCTAAATAACACATTCACAATCCGTCACGTTTTGCCATGACAAAAAACAGTACCACTGTTTACCACTGACAACAGCAAGTGACATCATGTTAGTAGCACACTAAAGGGGTACGCAGATGTGGTGGCAGGCTGAAACTGACTTGAAATCTTGACCCCACCCACGCAGCTGAGCACAGGGTCGAGGTGCCGACCTGCCTGAGCATGGCCTGTCCCAAAAGCCCTTTTACTGATAGAGGAGGGATCTGTGTGTGTAGGCCGGGCAGCCGCTCAACCACAAGGCTCTGAACACAGGCAGGATTCATTCCACCAGCGGATGTGGCCAGCAGCAGTTTAAATAGACAACAGGGCCCAAGACGGACATGGACAGCATGACATTGAGAGGAGAATAGTTACGCTACAAATGAGCGAGACAATGGTTAATGTTTTTATCCTTTTGGGACCCTTGTACTCGAGGCAGACTACAAGTGTTTGAAATGCACCTTCTTTTTACCTATACATCTGCTGCTGCTGCTACACACAATAATACTGATTATCTGTGCCTTATTCTTGTGTATAATTAACAAAGCACTAAAGTTTGTCATTTGGGAAAGAGTTTGGAATAAATGAGAGCGACAGACAGGGACATTTATATTTACTGGTGGGCAATATAGCAAAAATACATAACAGACATTTTTATGATACACGGTATGCATCTCAATATTTATTTTCTGAGGTATGATAATTTGTAACAGGCATAATCCCCCAGCAGTGCCACGTTTATAAAACTATGATCAAAAAATAGGAGTACAATTATTTTTATTTAACATTTCATATACTGTGCAGCACTAATACAGTCAAACAAGAATAATTATGTAATTATGCTCCAAGTAGAGAAACATGCAGTTGGTCCTTGAACTGACAATGTTCACGTATCGTGCCATATTGTGACCTAATTTATCACAATACTATAAAACATTATTATAATACTCACTCCTAATTTATTATAACTTTTTTTGGCATTATGGTGCTTTTTGACCCTCAAAACAGAGTTTCATATTTAGGATTAATTCTCAACACCAGCTGAATGACGTGAATAAACAAGTTTAGCAGAAAAAGATTGTTTTGACACCTCTGTAAACTTACGAAGGGACTCTATTTTGTGCACAGACAATATTAGTATGTGTTGTCCAGCAGTGAAAAGGAATGCACCTCCCACTGAGCTGTCAGTTCATACCAAATATATAAACCTTTATGATACAATATGCAGCCTATATGACATCAGGCAATGTGCGAAACATGGGTTTCAAAACTTCAAATGAGATCTCGGCAATTGTTTCAATTGTTTGCTCAAACGGTTCAAATGATTTGGTACGAGCATTAATAAAACTGAGAGTAACAGCAAATGTGTAAAACATTTCTCTTCACACTCTGCATTTCAAAAACCATTTACATCAGCTTACGTTTGAGGTTAACTGCTTTTAAACCTCTAAATCCCTCTGTTAGCATTGCAGCAAATGAAGTCCACTACATTGCTCTAAAGTTGCAGTCACTTAAAGTAAATAATTAGTCAAGATTTCAAACATAAAATTAAACTAGCCTGGATAATCATACTTTAAATTTCTAACAGAATGAAACAATTATAGGAGAAATCCCTTTTATATTAACTTTGTTGTCACTAAGTCACTTTGTGAAAAGGACCTATGCATAAAACTGGAACAAATTCTTTACTCGTCTGTGTTATTTAACCAACTGAACCAACATCCTGTCTATAAGCAATGAACTTAGTGTGTTATGGGTTGTTTATTGTGTGCGAGTGTATGTGTGTTCTGACAACATGACCTTAAACTTTCCTTCATGGAAAATCAAAAGGTGCAAGTGTACTCATACCCTCCTTCATCAACAATGGCCTTCCTCACCATCCACTGTATGAGCCTTAAATGACCGATAAAGGAGATATAATAGTTTCTTATAACTACGTCTGTGCTTATATAGTGCAAACGTACTGCTGCGTGCACTACTTACGTACTGAGTGCACTACTTCCCTTTCTTAGGACGTGGGGGGAGGGGAAATCATTTCAATCACATAGTTTATCAGGTCTAATGTGCACGCTTGAGTAGCTGCGTTTTTACTGACGTTTGTACAACAGCGTATCATAAACCTTGACAAATCTAATTCACGTTCCCTATTTTAACATGCCCAGGCTCATGAAACAATGATAAAGTTCTTATCTCTCTGCACACTCAAACAAATGGTAAGGTATTTGAATAACTGGTGTGCAACGAAAGGGGATTTCCATGCTTTCAATGATGAGACAGCATCAGAGTGACTGTGTGTGCCCTACTTAAGTTTCCTATGGCTGTTCAGCACAGAACATTTGTGAGACATGTGTGAGACACGTAGCTCTGACAAACAACTTTTGAGCTTTTACTGAAAACATCCTCTTTACAGTGACTAAAAGAGGATTCCTAGTAAGTAAACACGCAAGAAGAGTGTTATTCGAGCCTGACTCTAGAGTCACAGGTCAGTTGGTTCAGAAGAATGAACCACGATGACACACAACATAAGAGAAAGAAGTGAACCACAGGGCATATTTTGCTGCATCCGCATAAGGCACACCAAGTGCTGGGCGGTATTGATAAACCTCAATATTATGACATTCTTCCAAATACATGACATTTTTTAGTGTATCCGAAGATACTTAACTAAGTATTTAAGTTAATGAACTTGTACTTCTTCAGTATTAGTACTTTAGACTAAAAAGAATCTTGCAATCCCAAAACAGCAACAGATGTTTTAAATGGATCACTTTGTTCAATATTATTCTCTTAAAACTACACCTTAAACACTATTGAACATGACACAAAAAACTCATTTCCAGAAAGGAAATATTTATTTTATATATTTTAAACTGCTCTTTCCAAGTAATTGGAAGCACACAGTATTAGACACAAAGGCCACACAGGGCAGATGTGTGGAATAATATGTTATGGTTATTTATTAGGTACCACTGAACTGAAAATCATCACCCTGGCACCGCTAAAGATAACTATCGCCAAGCATTAGATTTACTGACATTGCACAATAAGTGAATCATGCATACTGTGCATAAACTGAATAGATCAATAGGACAATTCCAGCACATGAGAGAGCCATACACCATTCACTATCTGCATAAAGCATAAGAGCAGAAGGAACAGAAGGAAAAGCGCTCAATTTCAGTAAGAGAGGAAGGGGGTTGGGGGGGTTGAGCAACCTGAAACGGACATCACCATGAATATTTCATCATACTACAGTGCAAACACATTAGGCAATAAATTAGACACAAGATGGGCAAGAAAACAGAGACAACCTATATGGATTTCAAAGTGACTTGATCTCACATAGATCTGAATTAAGGCCTTTTAATGAGGCAGATAACAATGTGAAATCCAATACAATCTCAATGGATTTTTCAATCAATAACTTTGCATATAAATGATCCCCACTTGACTTTGACACTAGATAGTATTTACTAATGGTATAACAATTATGCTATACTACTGAAAAATCACCTCTGATGGAAAATACTGTCAATTAATAAAAAGCTAGAAATATGGGCATCAAGTGTTGTATTATTTATATTAACATAAAAAATGACTTTTAATAAAAGTAGTCTTTTTCTACAAAACATTAATTGGTGTAATATATAATTGCAGTGCTGTGGAATGTTACACCTATATATATATATATATATATATATATATATATATATATATATATGTGTGTGTGTGTGTGTGTGTGTGTGTGTGTATATATATATATATATATATATATATACACACACACACACACACGTAGATTAAACATTTCTGCAACTACCAAGTTCAAATAATCAGACAGGTAAGGTAGCTCTCCAATGTGGGAAAGATTCCAGTACTGACCTTTCCACACTTGATCTTTACCACATCAGAGCTACAAACGCCCCCCTGCTTCGAGCAATACCAGGAACAAACAGTTTCAAAATGATTTCTCTGTCTTAGATCAGTCGTGTGATTCATCTACCGCAGAAAAGCAACCACACTTAAGAGAGACGCGTAAGCACAAGCTTGCTTCAAACGGCGTAGGTGCTGTTATGAATGATTCAGAACCGTATTAAACTAACTCGAGGACAGTGTGCTGTTCACAACACTGGACTTCATGTCCAGTTTTGACATTAATGATGTTAGCGAGGATGGTGATGTAACGTTAACATTAGCTTATTTAGCTAACTAACATACTTGGCCCAGCTAGTTTGGAGTGAACAGCTGTTACACTGGATGTTTGTACAGCTATCAAGCTAATTAACTAGCGCATAACGAATTACAGACTGATGCGCTATTACAATGTCAGCTCTATCAAAAAGAAAATGTGCACTTGAAAAAGGTGAAGAAGAAACAAAACATAATGGACTACACCGCCCAGCCAGACTACAAAATTATCACCCGCAAAACAACTGTCGTTAGCTTAACCTAGCTGGCTAGCTTGATTGCTAGCTTCCATTTTGGAAGCGGATGCAGTGTTGAAATCATCAATCCGCCAAAAGCTCTCTCACTGTAGAGGAACAGGGTCTGAATGAATGGTGTATATGGACTCCTGCAACATACACTATAGACACCTGAAGGCAGGCCTGTTGTCTTATCTGGTGAACCAGCTGTCAAAAACTACAGATTTATGTTGATGTGTCAGTAAGCTAGCAGGCTAACAGTTCAGCTAGCCCATCTGCAGTAGCCTATTCGCATGAGCGGACTGCCTAGCTAAAGTGTGCAACATTACCGTATGTCTCTGACATGTCGACCCCGCTGTGAAACGACCTGGACTCAGCTGGGCTCTGGTAATAGTTTTGTGTTTTTCCTTCCACACAATACTTTGTTGTTACTCCGTTTCCAGTGCTGTTAGCCAGCAGGCTAGCTACCTTCCCTACCACCGCCACACCGCTCACTGTTCCACCACTACCTGTGTTCAACTTGCGAATGAATCATTCCTGTGAACTGATTCTTTTCGGCCGAACCGATTCCTAAGAGCTAACCGAATAGAAATGGTTTTGTAGCACAACTCGATGTTTACATCCTCGTAGGCTGAAGACTCATAATACAATTCCAACTATCGTTCAGACTTTAAATGAATGGTTCAACGTAAAATTTTGTACAAAAATTCCCACTTAAAAGTTGGTGAATATATGTTGGTCATCGAAGTTTGCTTAGTTTTGCAGTGGAGCTACCAGGCTAATCTAGCGAGCTAACAGGTGATGAAAGACTATGGATATTTATATTCGCTATATTAGCCTTGTAGCTCTACTGCGAAACTAAAGAAGCAAACTTTGGGCACCAGTCATGTCTTTGCCAAGTAAGCTAACCTAACTAACTTAGTGTTGTCCGGGGTTGGGGAGAAATTGTACATTAGATTTTTCCGTAAACTATTTTAATCTTATAGAATCATAAAATAAAGTGCTACACTGGGACACATTAAGAACCTCTTCATCGTATATGAAATGCGAGTAAAGTTGACTTGATTTGTGAATCAAAGAATCGTTGAATCCGTAGTTGGGTTGATTGAACCGGACAGTTCATAAGAATCGGTTCGTACAAACTGAATCAAACTTGCCATCAACACGTCAAACCGCGACTGCGTCATTACGCAGATTTAGAACCACTCCGAGCTGATCTGAGATCAGTTCAGTTCAGAGACTTGCATACAGGTCACTAATGTCACAGCTCATCCGCAGGCGCTGGATCAGCCTAACTTTAGTTTAACTTCAGGGCGTAGTTGAGTACAGGTTTAGTAATATATAAACAGTGTGAAAGTTTCAAAATATACATTTCATAGTTATGACTGTTTCTGGTACATAAACTCTGGTACACGAATTTCATAAGTAGACAGTAAGATAAAAAAGTAGGATGTGGATACTTTGATATGTTAAGCTACAACTTGAACCGTATTAAATAACATATTTAGTAGAGAAAAAAGTGCAAGTCTGCATTAATGCGTTCTAAAACATTTTGACAAGCAATACTGTAATTCTTTAGCTGACCACATGGTGGCAGTTAAACCATAGATAATCTTTCTCTTTCCCACACAGAACTCTTATATGAGATGCTGCTCTCTTCTACTAGTGAATGGCTACAGCACTCCCTCATTTAGTGTTTAACATGTTTCCCTGTAGGCCTGATTATTTAGTCCATAAGCCAATGACTAGGACAGATAAACTATATTGTACTATGTCAATGGCCATCTCATAAAGAAATGCATACTGATTCTTCAAACAGTATTACTGATCTCACCAAAACATGATAGAAAAACTGGTGTTGATGAATAAAATAATGAAAACATCATAATTTGTGACAGAGAAACAGATCTCCCGATATCTCCTATACACACATTCTTCTGCTGCACACACACATACACAGTCACAGGGCTCCTGTCATACAGGACCGCCCAGGGGCAACAGGTGATAAATTACAGAGCCCCTCTGCCACTATCTCTGTGGTTTCCTCCCTTTCTTTGTACTCCTGAGGCAGATCCCCTCTCCCCAAACCTCTTCAGCTCTTTTTAAAAGCTTTTTGTCTCAGAGATTAAAAGGAGGAGGAAGCGTCGTGTGAGGGCACGGATGTTTTCTTAAGGTTGTCTAAACTTAAAATGAAGGAGGCAGAAAGAGAGGGGCGCTCTTCATGCCCTGCCACACTGGAGAAGACTGAAGACCCGACTTCAGTACGAGGCTGTGACACCTTAAGGCTGCCATTGTTTGGACTGCAAAAGCAGCCATGCCATTGACCTTGGACATTCCGTTAACACACGAGACAGATCAGAGCCAAGTGAGTGCACACACACACACACACATATATATATATATATATGTGTGTGTGTGTGAATATATACATATGTATTTATTTTTTCGAATTGGGTTCCAGTTTTACTCATGTTTCGTGAGACTAATAGACATGCATACATGTGCACACACATACACACAAGCATATGCCCACATACAAGCATGAGATGCATGTCAGGACATGTAGCTTCCATGTCCTCACAGAAGAATGAAAAATGGAGAGGTGTGTTTTGGTCATTGTTAAGGAAAACTCCCAAACTCTGATGATCACATAATAGGGAAACTATGGTGCTAAAAGGATGAGTCATTTTCCAACAAGAATCAACTTACTGGAGTGAATCACAGCCTCAGTGAGTAGGCCTATTATCTCTGTGTCATCTATGTGTTTTCTAATTCTCTCTAAAACCACAGATTGTAATATTTAGGAGTCTCATACTGAGGAAAAACATATGTGCATATATTTCCTCATTCTAATATTTATTTAGAATGTATGTTGTATGTTGATGTACGTGATGTGTTATCACTGAAATCTCAAACAAACAAAATATATGTAAACATATTTTCTCATTGCTGAAATATATGCGCAATATACAGTGCTGTGAAAAAGTGATATAAAAGACTCATCTTATGTTAAATTAAGTTGGATGATCTGAAATATAACAGCAACAAATTACCAAAAAAAAAAAAATCGGGTGAGGGGAAAATACTTTTTTACGGCACTGTGTATCAAGGTATGTGATGTGTAAGCACTGAAATTCCAGGCAAATCGGATGTATGTACAACCCCGTTTCCAAAAAAGTCTGGATGCTGTACAAATAAAAACAGAATGCAATGGTATGCAAATAATTTAAAGCCTATATTTGATTGAAAATAGTACAAAGCAACATATCAAATGTTGAAACTAAAAAATGTTTTCGTTTTTATTGTTTTTTGAAAAATATATGCCCATTTTGAATTTAATACAAGCAACACATTTCAAAAAAGTTGGGACAGGGTCTGGACTGCAGGCAGTCTTGCTAAAATAAACAAGGCCTTCTCTGAAATAGACTGGGTGGCAACATATGTTGCTCCAAAACCTGTATATATCATTGAGCATTAATGATGCCTTCACAGATGTGCAGGTCACCCATGCTATGTGCACGAATGCACCCCATACCATCACAGATGCTGGCTTCTGAACTGTGCGCTGATAACAAGCTGGATGCTCCCTCTCCTTTTCAGCCTGGAGGATGTGACACAGGACACTTTTCCACTTCACCTTTGTCAATCTTAAATGAGCTTGGGCCTAGAGAAGGTGGCGGCATTTTTGGATCCTGTTTATATATGTTTTCTTCTTTGAGTTTTAACTCATTTAATTTGTGGATGCAGTGACAAACTGTGTTCTCAGACAGTGGTTTTTGGAAGTGTTCCTGAGCCCGTGCAGTGATTTCCACTACAGAATTAGTTTGAATCTGTTTTTTTTAAATGATCAATATGTGTTAATACATATATTACATATACTGAAATTCTAAACAAATGTGTACATATATTTTCCTGTATCTAAAATAAAAATGAAATGCATGTCAATATAAACACTGAAACACTAATACTTTAAAGTCTTGAAGAGAAATGAATAGAAAAAAAGATCTTTTTAGTCATACAATAAACATGTGTGTTGTTTTCATTACAGATTCCACTTTCATTTAGTATATATTCATATTGGTACATTATCTGCTATACTGTATATTTAGTGACAGTGAGGTGAACTGCTGGTTTATGTGGAGTGTAGCTGTATAAATGTGCTTAAGCAGTTGCTCTTCTTTCTGATTGCTTTATTCAGTCCTGTTGCCATGCAGTGTTTTCTCTGTATAGAGCATTCATTCTCATGTCATGCTGGTATTTCAGACTGGCCCTGAGAAGTCCAACCTCAGGCTAGAGGAGCCTGAGAGAGGAAAACAACACGAACACAAAGGAGAGCAGGTTTTTTGAAAGAAAGAAATGGCCTGGAAGACCACAGCCTGAATAGAGAGGCTTTTTGGGGCTGAGTGAGTGACGAGTGAAAGGCCGGCTGGGAAATAAAATATTTTCTGCTTTGTATCGCTCTCTTTTACAGCTTTCTCTAGCCTGTGGGGGAAGAGCAAGACGGCTAAGTTCCTTCTCACACCACTGCCATTCATCTGTCCAATGGAAAACTTGGCTTTTACTGTCAAGGGACAGAGTGTGAGGGAACTAGTGTCAAAGGCTTCTCTGTCATTTTTAAACCGCCATTATGAGAGAAGTGTCTGAAGAATGGGATGATTACCAGTGTCACGACTGATTGCATAATGCCAAAGTCCTGTGGTAGAATAGTGCTATGGTGGGGAATAGCAGTAAAGTTTAGAAATGTACTATAAAATATTATGTTTTATAAGATTTCAGATGCAGGTTGGGCTTTGACAGGCAATTCATGCCTGAGACAAACAATATGTTCTGTTGTTTTGCTCTTGTAAAAATAGATAGAGACCATGGCCCCTATTGTATTTCAAGAACTGGGGGAAAAGATCCTAGACTGTTGAGTCAGCGGCTAGTTAAAACCTGCCATTTGTCTTTTTGAGTTTCCTGAGCTTCAGTGCTCTATTTTAATCTAGATAACACCATCAACACCATAGCAAACTATTAATATGGTCATATATTACATTATGCACTACAGAGATGGCCCATAGCAACACTCTCTGAGATTAGACTGATATTACAGGGAATAGACAGGACAAAAATCCTGAACAAAGTCATGCTAATAAGTCAACAGTGTAGACACTAAACATGAATGGTGCCCTGTAAAATATGTCCTTGATAGTGGTGCAGTTAAAGTTACGTTAACTATGACGTTGAATGAAGTAATTACATTCTATGAAGCTTGATTGCGACTCTACAGTGGGGACAAGATAATTACACTGGCCACGTATGCTGACCCTCTAGTGGATAATGTACTTCACAGGATGGAATATAATAGTGGGATTCCTTTTTGTACACATTTCTTTTATTTGGGATATGGGAAATGGGATTTACATTGCAAACATATAATGAAACTGACCCACCTGCAGAAGATCAGATAGCAATCAGTAAGTTTTCCAGCTTTTGGGAGATCAGATAGAGTGAAAACAGGCGGATCATCGTGTGTGTGTGTGTGTGTGT